CCACAGCTGAGCGCAGGCGGTGTCCGGCTGAGAGGCCGCAGAGGGAGGGCGGGGGGCGATGGGGGAGGAGGGTGCGCGTTGTGTGCCCGCCCCCCACCTGCCTGCTTTCCCTTCCCTTCGCAGGGCCAGGCCCAGCAAGCCCTAGGGAGGCTCCTCCGCGTGCAGTGCCTGGTTTAGGGGGGTAACCCTGGTGAAAACAGGGCCACCATGAGCCCCAGGAACTGCCCAGGCTTCCCTGCCACTCATCCGGGGCCACTGCCGTCTCCTCAGGAAACACCAGTGTCCGAAGCCTCCGTCTCCACCCCTCGCTGCCTCGACTCGGGGCGCAACCTCGTGTCTCGGCTGCCACGCCTCCTGCCTCCCCTGCGCCCACATCCTGCACCTGGCTTGCCCGCGGACCCTGAGTTTCGCTCCATGACCTGACTGGTTTCCGCTCTGGCCGACCGGAGCCGGCTAGCCCGCCGACCTCCCTCTCGCCTCGTCGCTCTGGATGTCTGCTTCGGTTTCCCAAGCAGATTGACTGGCTTTTGGCTGCGCTTGGATTGGCGCGCTCCCCTTGGATCTCGGCTGCTTCCCCTGACTCGGGGTTGGCCCCCAGACCTGGATGCCCGGGGCCCAGCCTGGCAGGAGCCAGTGGACGCTGCCCAGTGAAACGGTGCCCGGAGGCATGGAGGGATAAGGGACGGGAAGACATCCCCGCCAGCGCTGGGGTCTCCCAGCCAAGAGCCTCCTTCTTGGTCAAGTCTATGGCCAGCTTTGAAAGGAATCAGGAGGAGGTTGAGCAAGAGGTCCCAGGACTTGGTGTGGCCATGGATGGAGAGCATGTTAATGAAAAGATATGGGGAGAAATGCAGCCAGAACGTCAGTGAAAGGGTCTGGAGGAGGCATCGAAGGAGCTTCAACCTGGCTCACTCGAGAGGCGTGCATCCCTATGACAGGACGTGCTAGGCTCGTGGAGGAACGGGCCTTGCTGCTGTCCCGGGATAAGGGGTGCCTGTGTTTCTCCCAGAACAGAGAAGTCCTGGGACGGGCGTGTACACGCGCTGCCCTTCCAAGTGGGACTGCGTGAGCACTTTTCTCATGTCGATTCAGCGATGCAATCCCAGGATAACCAAGTGCCTGTTGCCGTGTCCCAGCACAAGCTGTTCGCAAGTTTTACCCCATGATCCCATTTAGGCTTTATCCCAGGACAACAGACTGGAACTTGTGAATGACTGCGCTTTGTCCCAGCATAACATGGTTTATCCCAGGATAAATCTGACATCTGTTCGTAGCCCTAGAGAAGTGAAGCATAGGGCAATCTCGCCAGCATTTACTGTGCAGGCTCTAACGCTCAGCATCCTCACACCAGTCCGCATCTCCAGAGGCTCAGGCACCTTGGAAAGAAAACCTGGGCCTGTGTCAGTTTAATGTCAATGAGTTCAGAGCAACCTCTGCAGAATGATTGCCTGCAGACCAGCTCTTGTTGGGAGAAGCTATACAAAGTGGTTGCATGGGACCGCTCCTTTGTAGCTCAGTATTTCACAGGGCAGCTTGAACTGTGCAGCAGCAAGGCTAATTATGAGGGCAGAAAAAACAAGCGGCCTGACATTCATTTCTCCCCACTGCACCCACAGACCAATTTGTGACCCTGGTAGTTGGTGGGTAACCACACTAGCCAAAAACGTAGTTTTCTGTCTTGATATTTTTGAGTCATTGTGCATTTTATCTCCACGCTATTGCTGAGAGGATGCTCAGCGAGCCACCCGTTAGGCCAAGAAAGTATGCACTGTGCTAAATTCGTCTAATCTCACAGCCATTGATTGCATATCTCACGTAGATTCTCCAGTTTTTAAAGTATGAAAATTAAACCTTGAGGTGCTTCGGTTTTTCCTTCTCTCTCTCTTCTGCTTCTGGGAAGAATTCAGTTCTGCGTAATGTGGGGGGGGTTTTAAGCCTGATCAACCTGCCCTCTACATCTAAAATCGTGATAGTTAAAGAGCCTGCATAATTCTTCTACAAGGTAGCACTTTACAAATGCCAGGAACAAGGCCCTTAATTAATGTGCATTTGTGTGGCTCTGTTGAAGTTAACCATTCAGTCCGTGCCTCCTAAAGATCTCTCCCTGTGTATTCATCTGAAATACTACTGTTCTAGCGCTTAATCTAACGTGTCTCTGATTGAGCAGGTATCTTTTTATCTGTACACTAAAGCTGCAGAACTTCTTGATCATAGCCACAGGAACCGTCATCAGATGTCTACTAAAACATGAGCTTCTGCACACCTTGTGCATCTTATATATTGATTTTGTATGAAGAGGGAAAAATATATCCAGATTTGCATGTGCTGAAATTTATCAGCAACCTTTCTCTTCCCTCTTTATCTAATAGCCTTGGAAAGGAAAAAAAGGAGGGGTGGAAATACCCCTCAAACCAAATCTAAGATACTTTCCCTATATTGCAATCATGCTTTTCTTTCTCTGATTCTTGTCTTGCACTATGTTAAAAGTACAGGAAAAAAAAAGCTGTCTATCATTTTTCACTACAAATCTCAGTTTAGCTCTGGGATGCTGCATGACGCAAGATTTAGATTAAGTTCAGCTTCTTCAGACTTCTTGTCCTTCCTTTCCAGGCACATTCCTGGCAGGCTCCCAGCAGAGGTGGTGCAGTCACCATCATGAGCGACGCGTGCCCCCGGAGGCTGAGGGGCACGCTGACCGCCTGCAGACGGCAGCGGCGAGGGCATGGTGGTGGTGAGTGGGGAGGTCCCACAGGCAGCCGCAGCAGTGTCGGCGGCGGAGGAGGTGGTGAGCTCTGACCAGCGGTCAGCGACCACCTGCAGACGCAACCAGCGGTGTCAGCAGCGGCCAGCGGTGATCAGTGACTGCCTGCAGACACCGGCAGCGGCGGCG